CTCAAAATTCTGTCAATTTTAGAGTGCCAAGATGTTGTGCAATGAGCATTTAGAATCACCCCATATCGTCGTACACTGCACGCAAGAGCATGGACAATTGCTTTTCTAACCTTAAAAGGAACAAACGCTTTCATATCATACAACACACATAAAACTCTCCTCAACACACACCATGCATGAGCCATTTGTTTGTTCCACGACATATATATTCGAAATTCAGACCCATATATCTTGGATAGTCCACCCGGGGAACAGGCTTACAACAACAATGTTTACAACAAGGCCTGTGTAGAAGGGGCATTAGAAAATCCAGGTTTCAAGTGATTACGGAAACAGACGAGTTTAGTTTTTAATGGGTTAACTCTGATACTGTTGGCCGCATACCGATTCGTAACTTTAAACTCATTTAACTGTAGAGCTCTACGTCATTTACATAAACATTAAAAAGTAATGGGGATAGTGCCGACCCCTTAATAATAATAATTATTATTATAATTATAATATTAATTTGTCTTCAGGACATTCATACATTTATACAGGAGTGCGGGGGCAATCAAAGTCAACAGTGGCCTGTGTGACGCCGCCCCCCCCCCCCCCCCCCCCGAAAAAAAAGAAAAGAAACTGGGGTGAAATGTCCAAGAACACAGTCAGTAAAAAGTTAGCACAAAAAAAGCAGAGAACGGGAAAGAAAACGATGATAAAGCAGTTAGGAGTGCACAAGACAAGCTAATAATAATACTATGAAATATTAATAATAATAATAATAATATATATATATATATATATATATATATTGCAGGTGCTTTAAGTAAATCAATGCACAATAGAGGGACCATCAAAGCCATAAATCCTCGCCTATAAATTGGCGTAACGACCTTGTGCACTCCAGTGGACTTGGTGACTTCGCCATGGCAGGGACGCTAAACACGCGTCTTTTCTTCATACTTCAGGCTTTTCTGTGGCGTGTGGCAAGCGACACCGCGAACGACTACAACAACCCGGTGCTGATACAAGATACTGTCAGCGATGATGCGGCAAGTCACGGACAACGCCCCCCAGAGTACAGCTTTGAGGACGCCACCAATCATCGGAGTGTCCCTTCAACTACCTCGCCTATAAATTGGCGTAACGAACTTGTGCACTCCAGTGGACTTGGTGACTTCGCCATGGCAGGGACGCTAAACACGCGTCTTTTCTTCATACTTCAGGTTAGTCACCAGTACCCTGCAAAATGTTATCGTAGTGATGATCGTTGTTTGCTCCTGTCACCAAGTCCACGACACCTTGCTAGAAAAGTTGCCGGATTTTGTAGAGATTTGTTTTTATCGCTCTTGCTTTTGTCGGGGGATGTAGAGTCGAACCCTGGTCCCACTACTGAAGAAATACTTAACCAGCTCCTTGCTGGTCAAACGGAGATACGAAATAACATTAAGGAAATCAGGGGGAAACAAGGGAGTTTGGATATCTTCATAAAGGACGTATTGACTAGACTGGATAAGGTTGAAAAGGATGTGCTTTCGTTGCGCGGAACAGACTCCCAAACCGCTCCCCTTCCGCAGGCAATCGGTGAACTGAAGCGTTCAATCAAATTACAAGAAAATAGGCTTGTTGACTTAGAAGACCGGTCCAGAAGGAATAATCTTGTTATTTTTGGGCTGAATGAAACATCTGGAGAAACCGCGGCATCGCTTAGAAACCACGTCCTTACTGAAATCTTCCAGTCTACGTTGGGAGTGACAGTTCAAACTGTTGACCGGATGCATCGGCTTGGTCGGAAAGAAGGATTAAAGATAAGGCCGGTAATTTTGCACTTCGGGGACTACGAAGAAAAGATGACGGTGCTAAAAAACTGTAATCGATTGAAAGGAAGCAAGATTTCTGTCCAGCAGGACTTTTCAAAAGAAACGCTCAGGACAAGGAAGTTGCTATGGGAGAGCGCGATGCCTAACAGAAGAAATGGCGATAAGGTTTTTTTAGTACGTGACAGGCTCCATATAAATGGGGATATTTACTCTTGGGATGATATCAAACAGACACGCGTTCTACTTTCTACAAAAAGCGCGCCTGTGCCCGACCAGCCATGACGCCAGTCAAGAGAAGTGTTTCGCCTTGTGTCTTTTAACGCACGTAGTATTATGAATAAACTAACAGATTTTGAAACCATGCTACTTGACTTGGACCCTCACGTAACGCTGATAACTGAAACTTGGTTGCATTCAGGAATAGATGATAGTGAAATAATTCCGCCAACTCATAAAATATATCGGAACGACAGGCCGTCTCGAGGGGGTGGTGTTGCTATTGTCTTAAAAGCTGATATAAAAGCATTTTTGCTGCCAGGCATACCCAACCACGAGAGTTTATGGTGCAAAATAGACTTTTATGGGAACAGTGTAGTCCTGGGTGTTGTTTACAGACCCCCTAATGCCAGTATAAAAATTATAGAAGATCTCTGTGATTACTTGGTTCGTTTTCGTAATGATCGTGTGCGGCTAATTTTAGCCGGCGATTTCAACTTGCCGCACATTGATTGGCCAAACATGAGACCAACAGGTTTGCAAACTCGGGATTCCGAACTGTTACTGGACTGTGCATTTTCGTGCGATCTAAATCAGATAGTCTCATCACCGACCAGAGTGGGTTCCACAACAGAGACTATGTTGGATTTAATTTTTGTTGGGCGCCTGATATCGGATTACACTGTGGATGTGCAAGACGGTCTGTCGGACCATAAGTTACTGTATTTCACGTCAAGCTTTGTAAAAACCAGTCATGAGAACGCAACACAAAAATGTGTGGTTAAAAATTACAACAACGCCGATGATGTTAGTATATTGGACTATTTGGAAACTCATTTTGATTATTTTAGCCAAGAATGCGAGGTTGACACCTTGTGGACCATATTCAAAAATATTTGCAATCACTGCATCAACAGGTTCATCCCCGATAAAATAAAAAAATCACGACGAAATAATCCATGGATAACGAGGGAGATAATACAAGTAAAACGTGGGCTTCAGCGGAAAAGGCGGAACCACCCTCAGGAAAGTGCAGATATTTCCAACATGCAGCTAGAATTAAAAGAAAAAATCAGGATTGCGAAGGATACATTTTTTTCGGGCACTCTCGGCAACATTCTTAAAGAAGCACCCAGTAAGTTCTGGAAGTTCTTATCTGGGACAAAGAAAAAAGAAGTTGAGTGTATATCTGTGGACGGCTGCCAAGTAACTGATCCTAAAAAGATTGCGGTAGTGTTTAATCAGTACTTTCAGTCTGTTTTTAGTGTTCAGAGGCCAACGCCAGACAATGAAGCAAGTGAGTCACGCTCGATGATGGGGGAGCTCTGTTTGAGTCAGGAGGGTATCTTTAACCTTTTGCTTAATCTGGATATCAAAAAAGCAAGTGGACCAGATAACATACCGTCGGCATTTCTTAGGCGTTACGCCGAGTGGATGTCCCGTTACTTGTACATTATTTTTGACTTGTCATTGCGAAAAAGGACCCTTCCATCAGACTGGCGTTGTGCACGCGTTGTGCCGGTATTGAAAAGTGGGGATGCACAAAGTGTGTGTAATTACAGGCCAATATCTCTTACTTCCGTTAGCTGTAAAATGCTCGAGCACATTATTAGCAAACATATTACGGACTATTTGGAAACCAATAATTTGCTCACCAGTGCACAGCATGGCTTTCGGCATGGGCTGTCGACGGTCACCCAACTGGTTACAGTATTCCACGATTTCGCGCTAGCAATTATTAAAAGAAAGCAGCTTGACGCCATTTTTTTTAGATTTCGCAAAGGCGTTTGATAAAGTACCGCATAACAAACTCGTACAAAAACTCTACACAATAGGAATGAGAAGCAGCCTAGTAGAATTCATTCATTCATATCTTACAAATCGCTCCCAATTTGTAGAAATTAACCACCACCATAGCCTCCTATATTTTTCATGCCCGCGCGATGGCTCCGCCGGACCCGTCCACCTCCTCCCCTCGGCTGTCCGCGAGGGGCGCTCGCATCCTGGGATAGACTCGGCGCAGTCAGCGGCGGTATTCCATGGCGGCGGCGCATCTCCAGAAGACCTCTGCTCGAGTTTGGTTCTAGTGCACTTTCGCCAACGTTTGCCACAGCCCTTATCTACAAAAAAACGGTATGTGGTATTTTCAGCAAGTGTAATATGTATTTGTTGCTTCACTTTGTTGTATGAACGCGCGGCAACAATTGAGGCAGTGCATGTAAACAAACAACGTCGTTTGTACCACGTGTTTACATCGCAATTTTGATGCGCGTCTATTATGTCTTGCGAGACCTTTCCACGTACCTATGAGCACATTTCGGTAAGAAATCAAGGAAGTTAATTAAAGGTTTTCTCCTTTCTGTCCGTGCAGCGGCACATGAAGACAAGTCTCCGTGGTTGGACAGCTCAACCTTGCCGGGACGACCCGCGGGAAGCCCAATGGCTTACTGTTGCGTACCTGGCTGTAAGTCTTCAAGCAGAAAGAAGGAAGCAGGGATTTCATTTCACGAAGTTCCGAGCGACGAAGAGTTGCGGCAGAAGTGGGTAAAAGTCATCTCACGAGACAATTGGACTCCAAATACCACCTCCTGCTACTCAACTGTGTGCAGTCGTCATTTCGCTGCTTCTGATTTTAAAGAAGGATGCAAAACGCGAAGACTCGTGAAAGGTGCTGTACCTAGCATATTCGAAGAATATCCTTGCTACTTGCAGCCTTCGACAAAAGTCCCGAGAAGTGACGCGGCCATTAGAAAAAGAGCCAGTGTGTCAGAATGTCCAATGGCAAAGAAAAGGCGAGCAGTCCGTTGTAGCCGGTCCGACTCCTCTCCGTGGAATTATGATGACATTCCCACCAACAACGGGCGCGATGGGTCGCTGCTGTCAGGCAGCAGCACTTGTGAAGACGGCGTCCCTGCTACGAGCCAACAAAGCGATCAAGCTGTACAAGTATCAGTACCTACATTTGTCCCGGCCGTCAAGCGGATGAAGTGGCGACGCAAAGAGCGCGACCTTAAGGCACAGATTCGCCGTCTGAGACAGACTGTAGACAAATACAAGCAAGAACTTGAAAAGCTCAAAGAAGATTGCTATGTTTCCGTCTTTCTCAATATCCGCGAAAAGGCCAATGAAAAAGACTTACAAGCATCGATCCTGTTGGAGCAAATCCAAAATTTTCAGAAGAAAAAGCCTGCATGGACGGAAATGACAGTACGTCACGCAGTTATACTGCGAAATCTCTCAACGCGAGCGTACGAGCATATGAGGACCGAAGGCATACTTCGCCTCCCATGTCGAAGCACGTTAGAACGTTTCATGGGCTCTTCACGCGGAGAAGTAGGTGTGACCGACCTAGTCAAGCAGAGGCTGCGTGCAGAACTGTCTTCCTACACTTCTTCCCAGAGTAGAACGAGTTCACTCATCATTGATGAAATGAGAGTGAAGCAGCGGCTTCTCTATGTAAAACAGAGGGATGCGTTCATCGGCGAAGTAGACTATGGACAAGGCGTTCCTGTGGAAACAACAGATGAGCCAGTGCTGGCAAACTCACTTTTGTGCTTCATCCTGAGTGGCCTGTCAACAAGCTTTAGGATACCAGTGGCTTATTTTTTCACGAAAAATTGCAAAGGCCGGGAGCTACACTTACTCATGCGCCAAGTACTCAAGGAAGTTGAAGCTGTCGGCTTCGTTGTGGTAAGAGTTGTCACTGACAATCACCGGATAAATGTCATGGCATTTCAACTTCTGTGTAACGGAACTTTGACGCACGTTCTGCCACACCCTGAAAATCCAGACCGCAAGCTTTTTTTGGCGTTTGACCAATGCCACCTGATAAAAAACGTGCGGTCACAGTTTTTGGCTCGTGACCTCGGGAAAGACGGAGGTATTACAGCAGAGCACGTAAAAAACCTCTACAGAATGCAACAAGACAGCATTGTGAAGCCAGTGAGGTTCTTGACCAGGAAGCACGTATTTCCCAGTAACCTGGAGAAAATGAATGTCAGAAGAGCAGTGCAACTGCTGTCGCCTGCCGTGACTGCAGCCCTCAAGCTCTTCAAGCAGCAGGCGGGGCACACCTGCGATGCAAGTTTTTTGGATGTTGATGAAACTGTTCAGTTCATGGACACTGTCCATCGGTGGTTTCTGTTGATGGATGTGAGCAACTGCTCACAACACATACATCAGAACAACCCAGACTGCAGGCAGTTTGACTCTGAGAGCGATGAGCGTCTGGAGTGGTTAGAAACAACTTTCATAGACTATCTTTCTACCATGAAACGCCAATGCCTCGCAAAGAACTTTTTGACCAAGGAAACATACCAAGGGCTGGTCATGACTACGCATTCTAACGTCGAGTGCGTTAAGTATCTGCTGACAGAGAGTAATTTCCTCTTTGTGCTAACTAGGAAAATGTCTTCTGACCCCATTGAGTCATTCTTCGGGTGGCTCAGAAGGTCAGCAGGGAGCAATGACCAAACAGATGCCAGAGCTGTTCTGTCTGGAATCGAGAAAATGTTGAAGACGGGTATTGCTTCCAAGTCGGACTGCAGTAACGTCGTCTCTGTTGATAACAGCAGTTCTTTGTCAACGATGCTACGAGATCAGACAACCATGGCTGAGCAGGCTGCAGGACATTTCCCCAGGGAAGCGTTAACAATGCTATCGGAGAACCTGAACGAGGACAAGGCACTACTACCGACTCCAGATATAGCTGCTCTAGCTATGGTCGGTGGCTACCTGGCAAGAGCTATAGGGGAGAGGACCTCCTGCGAAGAGTGTTTGAGCCTCCTGACGAAGCCAAGCTCTTCAGCGCCGTCAGATGCACTGATTAAACATCAAGACAGGGGCGGGCTCCTCTACCCATCTGGAGAGCTGCTACACGTTCTGTACAGCTTGAGAAGGTACATTGAGGTTGTACTGGCCAAAAAAAGAAACCTGAAGCGCCCGCTCAAAGAGGCCGTGGACAACGCTGCTAAAGTACTTCGAGAGCGCAATCTTCTCGTGTGCACAGTGCCGGGGCACCATGAAAAGCTCGTGGATGTACTGCTCACAAAGTTCTTCCGTCCCATTTTTACAAATTTCGCCATGAAAGTGACGGACAAGCATGACTTCGTGAGGATCTTTGAAGTGAAGCCACTTTCGCGAAAAGTACTAAAATTGTGATTACTGGTTGTGAACAGCGTCAACGATTGGACTAAAGCTCGTCTGGTTGAAAGTAGATTCATGAAACTCTCGATCAGCACCCTCTTATTCGTTTCCGCAGGTCGCGAATGAATTCAAACGCAATAAACAAGTTTATTTGCCATGGCCTAATGGTATGGTTTTCTGTTCAATGTACATTCTCTCTTCCATACTTATTTTTTAGTGTCGCACTTTTGTTTACTTAAGCTCGGCGCGTTTATATACGCACAACGAAGAGCCCGTCAGTGCCGTCTGCAGCACGGGTGCCAGTCCCTGCCTGTTCTGGGAAGGCAGCGCCGCCTGGTGGCGACTGCGGGAACTGGGCGCGACGGTCGGTTCCCTTTGATCTCGGCGCCAACGCGCAGGCACAGAGTATATAGGAGGCTATGCCACCACTCTTCAGGTCCCTTGCCGGTCACATCGGGCGTCCCGCAGGGGTCGGTTCTCGGACCCATTTTATTTCTTATTTATATAAATGACATTGTTGAAACTGTGGGTGAAGGGGTTAATATACGGCTTTTTGCTGATGATTGTGTGGTCTATAAAGAAATAGATTCCAGTGAAGATCAAATTAAACTGAACGGAACTCTTCAAAACATATTCCAGTGGTGCGAGGAGTGGCAAATGCCATTAAATTTGAATAAATGTACAGTGCTCCGAGTAACAAACAAAAAGACAGTAAAAACATTTCCTTACTCAATTGGCAGCGTTAGGCTTGGGGAATCAACGCAAGTAAAATACCTTGGTGTGACAATTACTAAAAACTTGAGTTGGGACGCTCACATTTCCAATGTGTGCTCCAATGCACTCAAGACTCTGTGGTCTCTAAAAAGAAAGCTACCGTTAGCCCCGCTCTCTGTTAAACTTAGCGCTTATAGAACATTAGTAAGGCCACATTTAGAGTACGCGTGCGTGCTTTGGGACCCATACACACAAAGGAACACCGAAGAACTAGAAAAAATTCAAAAACTAGCAGCAAGATTTGTTTGCAATAAATTCCGGCGATTAGACAGTCCATCACAAATGTTAGACACACTTCAATTAGATTCTCGTCATTTACGTCGAAAACACTTGAGACTAAGGTTGTTATATTTTTTACCATGGACACCTGAAGGTTGACGTTTCCCCCTACCTAACACCTGTTTTGCGTCGTGATACGCGATTCAATCACGGTAGATTGCTGGAACCATATCGCAGTAACAATAACACTTTCAAAAACTCGTTTTTTCCAAAAACAATAACCGATTGGAATGAGCTCCCTAAAGAGATCGTCGACAGCTCATCGCCGGATGACTTTCTTGAACATCTACGAGCTCTACAAGCCTGACAGTTTGATTTTTTTTTTTTTTTGGTGTAGAGTGTTGCTTCATTGTATTGAAGTTTTCCCTTTTCATTATGTCTTGAACTATGTATTACACGTCCACCCCTGCCGGGGCCCTAGCGGGGCCTGCAGTATTGTTAAATAAAATAAAAAAATAAAAAGGCTGGTAAGACTAGTCCCTAAAATATTAAATTCAATACACACCTAGATCAAGATCAGAAAAGGCCGAGGGCCGGAACGCATGACAATAGGCAACATGTACAGGCAGAGCACCACGTCACAATGTACAGAGCTCACGGAAAGTCAGAAGATCAAAATAAAATTATATCGGCACATAAGTACGACATTACACACCTGAACAAAAAGCCCTCAGTTGACGTTTCAAAGATCCTCGAGATGTGATATCAATTAGCGTAGAGGGAAGGTTATTAAATATGTGAGGTACGTAATATAGGCGAATGCATTTTCCAAAATGTGTGTTGATGCGCATCGGTGTTAACTGTGTCGGATCTCGAAGCGACCGACATACATTGTTGGGGGTTTTACAAGTGTTATCCCAATAGTGTCTGATTGTTACAGTTTGCAAAATAGTGCTCGAAATGCTAGTAGAGAGAGGTCATTAAACAGGTTATCAGACGGTTGGAGGCTTGAGCCATATGCCACGCTTCGCAAAATGCCTCTAAGTAAAGAGTTCACCTTAGAGTCTAATCGGTCCGTACACTGCCAGAACACAGTTATCCCATACCGAAGTAGGCTATGCACGAGCCTATGCACCAGAAGTCTTCTCGTTGACATCGGAAGAAATATGCGCAGGTTGCAGAGGGTGCAGGAAGCGGCTCGTAACTTTTTTAAATATGTTGCAAAGGTGAGAGTTCTATGATAGATCACAATCAAAATAGATTCCTAAATATTTTGCGGTGTTGACATAGTCGATTGGCACGCATTTGCAAGATACGCAGTTTGACTCATGGAAAAAAAGTGGCTTGTCCAAGAGAATCAATTTCAGCCGACTACGAAAGCATATCAGTTGCGTTTTTTTGTTTTTTTTTTGCATTTATCCGATTTATGTTCTCTGAAAACGAATCCATCACCCGTATTACATCTAATCGGATAAAATCAACCGCATCATGGTAACGTATATGACTGGACAAAAAAAAAAACTGTATCATCGGCGTATTGAAATACTTTACAGAACTTTATCGCCTGCGGAAGGTAGTTGACATAAATGTTAAACAAAAGAGGTGACAATATGGAGCCCTGAGGAACGCCAGCCTTAAGGGACATTTTTGCACTATGAATTTACATATGGAGACGAGCTGCGTACGATTTAACAAAAAGTTCTTGGGCGATGCGTAAAAAGGGCCTCTGAAGCCAAGACTGTATAGTTTACTTAAAATAATTTTATGAGACGCGAAGTCGAAAGCCTTAGAAACGTCCAAATAAAGCGCTTATGTGAAAATGTTGTGTTCGAACGCACTATGAAGCAAATCGGGAAAATCTTCAAGCAAGGGTTGTTTGCCCTTTTCCGTAATAAACCCGTACTGCTGTGACGACAGAAGATCAAATTTATCTAAAAAATGCTGACATTATCAAGCAACTGTGTTTTTCTAAGAGTTTCGCCAATGAGGCAAGACGGAGATGGAACGATAACTGTCAACTCCTACCATGGTCTCCATTTTTATAAAATGGAGATTGTCGTTTTAAGATATTACCGGATGTTATAATACCGTTTAATATATTCAAGATTAGACTCTTCAGTGACTCATAATTTCTAAGCAAATCAGCCATCCGCATATTATCAATACCGGGAGATAAGCCAGGCTTGAAACAACACAGCATATTATATAGCCCTTCCTCAGTTATCTCAGGAAGAAAGGCAGATGAAGCGTTTTTTCGAAGTTGTCGCTTAGTGACAATGGTGACTGTCTCGTGAAAAATTTGACGCATTTCCGAAATGAACATTAAATGAATTAGCCGCGGAATATTTCTTACCGGAAAAATACTTTGCAATCGTTTCATCAGTAAAATGTTTACGCTTTGTGCTCACCGCGCAGTTCGTTAAGGACAGACCAAGTAACGCCGGAATCGGAACGTGCGTACACCAGCTTCTCGCTTGGCTCAGCAGATGAGCGCGGTAACTCGGTTTCGTTAACTTTTGAATTTGATTTGAAGATCCACGTTATCAGGAGGGTGGTGGCAACGCACCCACAAGAGTTCTTTGTACTTAATTGCGGGGATTATGTCTTTGATTGACCACAAGTGTTCCGCGTGACGCTTTTTTACGGTAACAACTCTTTCACTGAGCCCTGTAAAATTTTGCCATACGTGTATGCATTTAGAGTAAAGCCCCTCTTGACTGGAAGATCGCATTAAGATGTCCAACTTTCAACCAGATATTAGTTTGTCGAATGCGATCCGATCGACAACTTCCATTTGTCGTGTTTCAGGGCCGTCGTTTTAGGAGGGGTATTTGAAACTAACTGAACCGCAGTGAAGTAATGATCGGCAAGTTTTTGCGAAATTACAGCAGATTTAACTTGAAGTTCGTAAGCCCGCACATTGATGTGATCAAGACAAGCAGAAAAAAATGTCCATTAAAAAAATTCTTCTCTTTTGTATTTTAAAGAATATTAAGGTAGTCACACACGGTTGTCTTTGCAGGTTTTCGAGTGCCAATGTTTATGTCGCCGAGTACGCAAAGCTGTTCTTCGACATTGAAGTCAGCTAGACTTGATCTCAGTTCATCTAAGAAAGACGTAACACCAGGGCCGTACCCAGAAAAAATTTTCGGGGGGAAGGGGGGGGTTTCGGGGACAACGGCGGCCATTTTGAAAGTGTCTATTGTCTTATTTTCGCCTATGAATCATGTGCATCGATGGCATATAATGGAGAGTTACATCAAACCGGAACCGGAGAACCGGTCGCGGTTTTGTACCCGGTAGCCGACCGGCGCCACTGCGCGTGCGCAGAGGTGGAGATTAAAATCGGCTGGCTGCCAGTGCACCGACCAGGGCCGTACCCAGAAAAAAATTTCGGGGGGGGGGGGGGGGGGGGGGTCAGGATTCCCTAACCCTCCCCCCCCCCCCCCCCCCCCCCCCGAAATCTTTTTCTGGGTACGGCCCTGGTTACGGCCCTGCGTAACACTATCAGATAAAGGGCGATAGACGGCAAGTAACGTAACCGAGTATAATGAGTTGGAAATTTTCAAGGCAATACACTCTGCGTGAGCAAATGTAATATGCAAAAGTTCAGTAACCCCTGATTCTTTGACGAATACTGTGATACCACCACCTGTTCTACCCAAACGGGTACGGAAAAATTCTCAATATCCAGGAAGGGAAAAGTGATCAACAGATATAGATGGCACATTTACCTCAGTTAGAACCCAAACGTCAGCGAGATTTTTCAGAGTTGGTGACAATGCAAGATTGGTCCCAATACTTTCTAACACTACGAACGTCAGTATGAAGAGAGTAAACGCACTAACTGTGGAGTCAAAATGACATCAAATGGAAGTAAGGTCTTGGCAGTTAGAAAATGTGAAGGCCATAGGAACTAGATAGTGAGCTCCAAGTCACTGATGTAATTAACGCGCACGAGAGGGGCACCTTCCGTCTTTTTAGCGTTGATGTTGGCATTTGTTTACCCAAACAAAGCGATA